ACACACGCAGAACACCAGACTGACAACTTTAGTAGTTGAAGCCGAAATTCTAACTAAAAAAAAAGTCTATATACCAACTATGGCTATGGCTACAATACTACATTAGATATTTATACCTTTATGCCATTTTGAACTTGAGATACACACGCTACACACGGTAAATGGACGTTTCGCCCCCGTCAAAAAAACCAGTCCACGGACGTTTCGTCCCCGGCAATTTTTAAGGTAGGACGTTTCGTTCCGGAGTGTTATAAGACATAGGACTTTGGTCCCCGGCATATTTTGATTAAAGGACATTCGGTTTAAATTTTATTTTTAATTAAATTATATTWAATTTCGAAGTAATAATACTAAAAAAAAATAACAAACACATGGAAAATCGTATGACTGAGTACATCAATGAGAAGCTTGCGTGAATTGAATACTTAAAGAAAGTTTACTTCAAATTTGCAAATCAACGATTTTTAATAATTGTATTTATTATATTTAATTATTTGTATTTTGTACCTACACCTAGTGATGACTATAGTTAACTTCCAAATCAACGATTTAAAATTATATACCTATATTATATMATTTTTTTTCTGCAATATCTAGTATAGTATATAGGCTATAKGCAAGTAATAAAGATTTTACGTTTAAATTTTGACTACGAGTAATATTGTATAACTATATTGTGTGAATATTGATTATGTATTTGTAATTTTGTAATATTGTCATTTAAAAATTAAACTGTTCATTTAAAATTAAATTGCTTATCAAAATATGCCGGGGACCAAACGTCCTATGTCTAATAACTCTCCAGGACAAAACGTCCTATCTTAACAATTGCCGGWGACGAAACGTCCGGGGACTGGTTTTTTTTACGGTGGTGAAAATACGGGGGCGAAGCGTCCACGATTCGCTACACGCATGATCTTTCGGCATATTTTCACAAGAGTTATGAATGTTATGACATATTATAATAAATTGTATGCCTCTACTGCCTTTAATACGTCATCGGTGGTTGATAATAAAATGGGGCCAAAGAGGTACAGTCCGCAATTAGGTACCAYTGCAACCACACTCAATCGATTCGTTGTTGACATTCCGATGCAGTACACCGATTAAGTAAATATTTTATCCAAGTACGTATACCTTTTTATACATGAATAACAAAACGTTTTGACGCGTGAGTTCGTTTGAAATATACCCTAGGCTATTTGATCGTTCCTTTGAAACCGTATATCGTTAGTATGTTATTGGCTACGAAATACAAAGTTATACTGTCAACATAAATAGTTTATAATAACTGATATATTATAATTTGAACCATTATACATATTTCTGGATTATAATAACCATATTATATTATATGCAGTGCGGGTCGGGTCGACGTAGTATTACAGCACACTCGTTGTATGCCGCACATTTAATAACGTTTATACTGTTTATATAGCACTTATAAATGAAAATAATTTTTAAATAACTGAAATTGTTGTTTTTTATGGTCGATTAACAAACATAATTAAATTTTTATGTTCAAAAGTATTACTAGATGTGCCCTTCAGATGCGTATTATAACTTTATCTACCGTTAATACAATTCCAAATAATATAAAATATAATTTTATAACTAKAAATCTAATTGTCTAGGATAGGAGGATCAGTRGCGCCAAAATATATATTTACCTATGACAGCTGTCATAGGTGATTTTAGTAGGTAGGAGAGTTACGTTTGTCATTCTAAATATATTAAGATATGGATAATTGCATGTATTAGACATTACTGTCATTGTAAAAGTTGATAATATTTCATAAAAACTAAAGGTAAGGTAATTATATGAAATAGGTGGGTTTCAAAATTTTATGAGGAGGTGTCTGATGTCATAGGTAACATTTTGGACTTTGGCGTCATTGAGCAGGATCAGTAATCAATTAATAGAATAACAGTTATAACAACCTTTATCAATATTACTTGAAAAATGTGATGGCTCCCTCAAACGGCTYCCACCCATTTTTTGCTTATTCCTGACCAGTTATTGTTCCTTCGATAAATATTTCACCCAAAATCWCCCAATGTATGATTGTTATATTTATATATTTCAATGATAAATTTAAAAAAGAACACATTCCATAATATCAAATATTTTTTGAATATTTAATTCACACTATCAAATATATCATGATATTATTATTAGTCGTTGTTTGGAAGTTAACCGTTTTGTAAAAAGGGTCTCGAAAACGATCGATACTTGCCATGTTGTCTTTTAATTTAACATTATTTAAAACATCTCTTACACCAGATGTAGTTACAGTACCTAGTACAGTACAGTAGTTTTATATCAAAAAATYGATTAACGAAGAAGGGGTTTCGGGACAATAAGTTTAGGGTGGCGAAATYTGGAGGAGATCGCAAAGTGTTATGTTTTAGGTAATCTGCAATTTCCACTAAACACGAGCATGGGTACTACTCGATCCGTCTCGATCCGTTTTTACACAGATTAGCTCTAACGGTACAACGGTGTTCGCAGGTTTATGTGCTTCTGAAAATCAAGAGGATGTACGTCCTAGGAAACTACACGTTGAGGTCGTGGCTGAGCCGACCGGCGTCGGGCCCGTTCAACGTGACGCTCATCGACGTGGAAGCCGCCGCTGAGGCTGCGCTCGAACCGGACGAGGACGGCAACCTGCAAGCCACCGAGACGGAGATGGACATGCAGTTCAAGGACTGCGAGCTGGACTTCAAAAACCTCGGGTTCGCCGCTTCMATGATGCAGGGCGTCATCAGCACAATGGGGTCGGTGCTGTTCGAGGGCATCAAGCCGTTTATCATCAGCGAGGTGAACACCAACCTGCGGGCGGACGTCAACGCCCAGGTGAAGGCCATCACTAGCAAGCTGCCCAAGATGACGGTGCCAGTACCGGACCTGGCGGTTGCCGAAGGCCGGGCGTACGTCCGGCGGATGGGCTTCGACCCGTACCACATCGCCGACCGACACATCGCCGAGGGCCCACTCAACTTCACGATCACCGAGCTCACCGTGTCCGGGCTGTCCAACTTCAAGCGGGTGGGCGACATCGGGCTGCAGATCCGCGGCCCCGTGCTCCARWTGTCCGTGCACGTCATCACCGGCGCGGTCAACGGGTCGCTGCGGTGGAGCTACCTGCTGGGCCTGACCAAGACGTTTGGCCGAGCGGGCGTGTCCAATTTCACCGTAGACCACATMCAGGTCCGGGCTCTGGTCAACCAGACGTTGGACATCCGCAACAAGCCGGTGCTGGAGAAGCTCGACATCGAGGTCGGCAAGATCGAGGTGCAGATGGACAGGAAGGAGCCGCTCGACTACGTCATCGAGATTGCAGTCAACTCGYTACCGTCGCTGTTGCGGCACATCATCGTCGACGCGCTCGAGGAACCCATCAAGATGAAGGTGCAGACAATACTGGACGACGTTGAAGTCGAAAAAATGGTAGAAGACAGGCTGCCCGAACTCGACMGGATGGTCGGYGATTGATTGTCCACTCACCCACTCTCACACACCCACCCTATCATCATCGATCCTTTTCCATCCACCCACCAGACCGCAAGTTCTTTTTGAAAGTTATGTGATACCGCAAATATAGAAATGATACATGATAATATAATATTTTTAGCCACCTGCACAGGTACGATAATTGGTATCAATAATATGTACCAATAAATATACATTGTCTCTGCTGTAGTTCTACGAATCTAAATCTCTTCAAACACCCTTCTTTCCGTCAAACCAACTCTGTTCGACATTGAGTCTTCCACTTGGTGTTCTTTCAGACCTCTATAGCTTCCTGGATTTTGTTATCCTCTCTTTTCACAATCTACCTATTTGTATCCTGGTMATTTGGCCTATTTGTGTCAATGGCCTCATCGTTGGCCCGTCTTTTTTTGTAGTCCTCTACATATTATTCTCCGTCAGCTTCCTACGCGTAGCTACCATGTAAAGTTTATGGACACATAATGACCTCCAAACGTACAAGACATATTATTTCACTAAACCTACATAATTAGAAAGAACCAATTCTGGCAACACCGATGTTCGCTCAGAAAAACATCATAATATTACACCACCCATGTTTTGAATATCACATAGAATGTTAAGGTATTATACCTACTTACAGTAATTTCTGGGTTTTTTTTTTAATTATTATTATTAAGTAGGTATTTTTATTTTAGTACCTATGGATACTTAATATGTACATAATGTTTTTGTTTTAGATTAGCGTCTATAAATTTCTAAATTTCAAACAGATTTCAATCATTCGACTAACATGATATGATGCATATATTATTATAATATTATATAGCATTGTTTACGATATTACATTTTATATAGGTAGTATTACTAGTATCATGATCATGTAATAATAATATTACCTAGATAACTATTATTGTAAATACGATTTGTAATACAGTAGCTAATTTTATAAAATACACAATAGATTGTTTGTTACAAATAAAATCATAAAATCATAAATGCGTAGTACCTACCTACCTACCTACCTAATTCAGATGATTCATCGTTTGAATTTTCTACGCAGACTTAGTTATTACGAAACTCGTATTATGTGAGTATACATTTCTATKATTGTTTTTTATCTATCACGATTGTAACATCCTGAAAATRTAATGTATGATATTATATTATTATGTGTAGGAAACTGTGCGAACATTATACCTATTTGTGTGTAATTTTATCTCTGTTTCATCATTTGCAATCATTAGGTATATAGAATATAGGTCATATCTATGTATTGCGTCTAGAGGGTTTTATTATACACATGAATAGGTACCTATAATAACATAAGTTATAATTAATAACTTATAGGTAACGATTCGAAAACGTATTATAAAAATTGACCTTTTATACACTTAATAGTTTATGTAGGAAGGTACCTATTAATATTATAATCGTTCAACGCATTATTGTTTCTATATATGTTACCATATTATTTATTATTACACGCACACGCACACATTTCTCATTTGCGACAAAAAAACTGTCTAGATATTTGTATTTGGTACCTATGTGGTCCATCAACGTAAAAATAAAAAAGTACGTTTGTATCGACAGCTCTTTATAGTCAAATTTCCCTATATTATACAAACTTTATAAGTACGCATATTAAAACATTTCCTGCTTGAAAAACTTCTAAAATTGTGTGTGTTTTTTTTCTTAAAATCTTTTTTAAATAAGTATTTAAAAATGTATGGAAAAAACATATTTTTTCCTTCATCCTTTCGTAGTATTTGGGACTTAGTAGTTTCCGTCAGGCAGTGACATTCTTTAGCCTACAATGATTCATTACCTATTGTTTTAGTTTTATAAAATTTATAAGAAATAAAATWATTAATTACATTATTTATAATGATTCAAATGTRAAATAAAACATGTTAATGTTAATTTTTCGTGATGTTCAGCATAAAAAAAACAACAACAAAATAGTAACAAAAATGGCAATGAGGGATTGAATTAATACACATACTGTTTTTTAAGATACTACGAGTATATATACCTACGTGAGTACGTGACTATGGACTAGATACCTACCGACATTAGTTCGACTATTACAACTGTAGTATCGTATGTACATAATTGTTAACAGAATTATTTTGATAACGGGCTTTGAAGTCGCGTCAGGTGGAAGAAAGTGAACTTAGATAGCACTGGAGAAGTGTTTCAAAGCAGTCGTGGGTAGAATTTGGGTTAGACCTAACCTAACCGGCATAGTAACGCCATAAGTACTCGTATAGAAGATAGAACAAACCCTGCAAAAATTACTAATATAGACTACTAGAAGCACAGCGAAAACAGTTGAATTGACAATAGATTTGGAAAAAGACAGAGTACCTACCCAGTGGCGTACTTAGAGGGGGTGCAGGAGGTGCATTGCACCAGGGCTCTTTAGCTGTGTTTTATAAATGGGGCCCTTGAGCCCTTAATCGGCCTAATCAAAAAGTAGCAACTGAAACTTTATAAGGGGCCCAAAAAATTAGGTGCACCCCTGTGCTTAAATAGATACATAGATACGCCACTATGAAAGTACCTATATAATATGATGTCATGAGATACCTGATAGCTCATATACATATAGAGCGATTTTTCCAGAGGATATCCCACATCCATTGAGAAGTGACCAAGCGACCAAGTGCATATTAATTTTTGCTTATAATAGGTTAGGTTACCTACAGCCAGTAAATTATGTTGGTGTTAGGTATTCGGCAATATTTGTCATCACGTTACATATAATGTTTTGCGTTCAAAAATGGYATAGGTCTAGTTGATTTTTAATTTTTCTCGAATACCGTAGCCCCTTGTGTGACTCCATCACATAGGAATTAGTTTTAAAATTAGGTAATTCCATTACAGTTGCATCAATCTCGTTGTTGCGTGTATAATATGCGCTTAAATGCTTAATAGTTATTAATGACCAATGATCATCAATTTGAATGTTTATAGCCTGTGTAATTTATTGTTGTGCGCATGATATGCACATACCATCTATTATCTTCATCACCAATCGTCGGTCGACAAGATGAAATATTTTTCACCAAGAAACATGCTCATCATAATAATAATAATAATAATCATAATAGCTATAGTATGGTATAGAGGTACCGAAAAAATTAGTAATGCGGAAATACAATATCTGAAATCATATTTAATTCGTATTATGAATTATGATATATTATGAAGTTTACTAGGTCAATAGGTCCCCTCCTCACGTCCCAGTTCCCACCCGCGGTATTTTTATCTAGGTACCTAATAGCCAATGGGTATATATTATACAAACACTTACATGCACTATGCAGTTTTCAGTGTTTTAGTGTTTCAAGGTATTTTGTAAAAAGTATTTTTACGATAATTCAGTTTTTTAGTGAGTTATGAAGATTTTTATTTTACAATTTATTATACATAACTCACTTAAAAACTGAATTATCGTAAAAATACTTCCAACAAAAAACAGATAATGTTCTTACCATCAAGTTTCACAATAAGTCTACTCACTCTAATTTTTAAGCTAACGGAATAAAACGTGAACTGCTGTACATTCTTTATGTTACGCGTTTGTAAGACTGAAACAACAAGTACGAGTGTTTCTCCCTCTTGACACCTTTAATTATTACCAGGGACAAGCAGACATATTGTGGAATTCTTAGCACCTATATTTTTATTTCAACTATTTATATCTGATAAATTCATAGGAAATGAAAATTCACAATATTTGCAACCTTTTAAATTATATTTCTAGGCTTTACGTAAAATGTCATACAAAAAGAGTGCATCTCACAATAATTTAGATACCTACTTTWAAAAAAAAGTTTAAATGAAATTGTTTTCGTCCGCAATACTTTGATCTAGTCCTAATTAGGTATTGAATCCTATAGAAAACCATTAACTTAATAGGTATAACACACATATACTTACAGTAGGTACCTATCTATTCATTAAACTTTTCTGACCAATTTGACAGTGGCGTCATTTCAGGTCTTGAAAGAGGGGAGGCAAAAGTTTTGACCGGCCCATAATTTWAAAAAAAGCCGCTCGCTAATAATTACATTTTTATCTCAATACAAACAGCCCTCTTACATAGTTATATTTATATACATACAAGTTGGTTAACTGAGATAAATGTGGTTACTCTAGGCATAAATAACACACATTTTTGAAAGATAACAATGACTAATTAATACATAGGTATATAAAATATAACATGTTGAGGGATACCCAATATTATCTATTAGTATTTAGTATTAAGCATTGAGTAAACAATATAATATACTCAATGCTATTAGCTACTATATGATGACATATTTTAAGGGGAATTTTACCCCAATTTATGTCCTATTTGCAACAAATATGAGTTTAATGGTATTAACAAAAAATAAAACAAAACATACAGATACAATACATTATTATATATTTATCATTGGGTAATTATAGTTTTTTTAAAGTTGCTTAAAATTTAAATGCTAGGCAGTAACAGGATATCTTCTTGTTTTCATAGCTCCAAACATATCAACAGCTTGATTTAAATTTATCAGTGAAGCTGTTTCCTTCTCCACAGCTAACCTAACCGGACGAACACTTGCCGGTCACGCATTTAAAATTAATCAGAAATCTGGGTTTTTATGCTGAATAATATTATATACTTATTAATTACTTGTCTTATTAGTTATTCGATAACATTTTAATTAATAATTTCACAATAATATTAATAAATATATATATTATAAGAGCAGCGGCCCACAGGGAAGGCGGGAAACCCGGTATTCCGCTCGTCCAGTCCACCATTGCGCATATAGAATACAGATGTCAGATACCTTAAAATTATTTACGTAATTAGTACGAGCCACGAAATCATGGTTATATTTTATTAAGCAATGACATGATTGTTATGAATCATGTTTGCGGGCCAAAACTAGCACCATATACCCGGTCTGAACCGGCCG